AAATTCAGTTGTAGATATCAATCAATTAATAGTTTCGGTTTATTTTCAAATAAATAATTATGCGATTCATTAGAGTTTGTCGTTAAAAACGGTACGCTTTTTGTCATTAAATTGTTGTGTAATTCAAAGGAAACAAAATTATAACACAAAATAACTATAAATTAAATCAACAAAAAACTTAAAAATATTATAAATTATATAATAATTGCACAAAAAATTAAAAAAAGTTTCAAACAATTAATACTAACCGGTCTTTCACTGGAAGTCTATGGGAGGGTTCAGACCGCAAAAAACTTAAACATAATTTTTAAATGGTTTAAAAATTGCAAAGTTTTTAAACCAACAAAATTCTACTCAAATATCGCGAACATATCGTTAGTATTTGTATTACTACTAGAAATGGCACCAAATTTCATGTCTGAGCACTGATTAGCAGCGAATGGATTAGTAGTAGAAGTAGTAGTGAATGGATTAGTAGTCTATAAGTCAGTGGAAGAGATAGAAGATAATTAAAAAATAATTTCATTTTTAAAAAACGAGAGAATAGTTCTCAAAATAAATCATTTGAAACAAAAATTGGACGAAAAATATGTATAAAAAATAAACACAAAATTTATGAGAAAAATAAACTTGAGATTCAATTTAACAAAATATAAACACTTTGTTCGGGTTTTGGGGGTAAATATTTGGCAAATAAAGTGGAAACAAGCGTTGAAAGCAATAAAAATAGCGAAAAAAAACAATTTCAACAAAAAATATCTGTAAATAAAAATCAAAAATAATCGTAAATTTGTTTCAAACCATAACTGAATTATAATATACTGTATAATTGGGAAAATTACTATTAAATAGAAAAAATGAGTTCAAAAATAGGATAAACCATTGTATCGTTTGTGCATAAAAAAAGCAATTATTGTCCGCAAGTTTTAGCTGCGATTACAACAGTAAACCCATAAAAACAATTTAATTTATACTAAAGTGTCGGTTCGCATGTCGTTCCCATTGGTAACGAGTGGTTAATTGAAGAAATCGTCGGCAAACGGATCCGATTTGACAATAAATATGTTGCGTTCGGGTGGCGACACCTCGTCCTGTCCTACCGGTGCCGCCGTCGACGAGCACTCATTACTAGTATTATTGCTATTTTGATGGTTGGGGTGATTGACCGCCGGTTTGGTCCACATGTCGTCATCGAAACCGCTGACACGGGCGCCGACGTGCGGGGGCTCACTGTTTGGCCGCACATTAAGCTCCAGTTTCGATGGTTTACAGGGTCTGAAGGGGTCGGCCGTCGAGTCGGGCGACGAGAACACGGATGTAAAGTCTGCGACAAAACCTCGCGAACAGTCGGTGCTCGGCGTCACCTCATCGACCGTCTCATTGATCCACTCGTATCTCGAGTTTATTTCAGACAACTTCAGGTCCTGTTGTCTGATGTTTGGCACCGTTTCCGACACCGACTTAGGCGTCGATTGTGTCGACACAGAACTATCACTGAAAGCGGTTCCGAAACCACTGGTTGTCGGCAAAGAAGTCGACGAATTGTGTCCTAAACTCGACTTAATTGTCGCCGAAATGGACGACAACTGGGAGTCAATGAACGCACAGTTAAAGGGGTCGTCATTCTTAGACAACTTGCGGGCCATCGGTTGCGGCCGCTGTGTCGGCGCCGATGGGGACGACACCAGCGATGTTGGCGTCACTTTGCGCTGAGGATTAGGCAATGGAGGCGCCGATGAGTCGTCAGTATAGGCGATATTATTAGTGGGAATAAAGCTATTAGTCGTCGAAAAGGGATCAAACGATTGCCGATTCGTTGTGTCGAAGCTCTGGTATCTGTGCTCTGGAAGTATAGTCCGCCGCCGGGGCAGCGGTGGCGCCGACAAGTCCGGCGTCGGGGGCTTTGGCAACAGATGCGGAGGCGTCGACCGCGACATGAGGTCATTGCGCGGCGGCACTGGCGGGCAGTCCCGAGAGGGCGGTCGCGGCGGCGGCGGAGGCGTGGGAACGGGTGGCGGAGGCGTTGGACTCGCGTTTAAAGCACAGGTAGAGTCGAAGAACGGATTGAATGGGTTGGGAGACTGACGGCAAGTGTTGGAGTCATTGCTTATGGAAGAGATGGTAGAGGAGGAGGCGCTGAAGGGGTTGGCAGCGGCTGAAGAAGAATATGGCGGTTGTCTCTGAGGTATTGGAGGAACGGATGTCACGTTTGAGTACTTCAGAGGTGCGAAGACAGACACATATGGATAGAGAGATAGTGTGGAGACAGAGATAGCGGTAGACATAGGGGAGAGGTTTGAGAGGAAAGCATATGTTATGTAAAGAATAGTTTTCATAGATTTTGACAGAAGAGATGGCATTCATTGCAAACACAACTAAATTACATACGATTTGTTCGTTCGTTGGCCTATAGATAGGCGACGAATTGGTGCCAAACGTGGGATTAACTGCCGGTATATCCGGGTTTAGGTCCCGAAGAGTGGGTTTCTGTTTGCGTTCCTAAAAATAAGACACAATTTATGATAAATTAGTTCAAAAACCACAACAAAACCACAGTTCAAAACACTAACCACAAAGAACTGTGACTTATCGACGAAAGGCCTGTCTTTTCCTAACGGATCCAATTCGGCAAAAACTGCCGGCATTTCGTTGAGCCGATCGCTGGACCGACTGATGTCGAAACCGCTCCCAAAAGCACTGGTAGGCGGCGGTGTGGGCGCCGGTACTGATGGTGGCGCCGGCGACGACGTGCCCGACACTTGACTACTGTTAGACATAGAAGACGACGACTGGTTGGACCAGACGGCCGATGATGTCGACTGACTCGTATGAAAGCTGTTGGCTGTCCACTGGTTTTGAGCATTGAATTCATTGGTGTTTTGCGGCGGCATTTGACCGAAGTTTTGGTCGAAATTCGTTGAATTTCGGTTCGGAAACCCAGAAATCTGGTCGTATTGTCCAGAATTTCGATTCATTTGTCCAGAATTTGGATCAAATTGACCAGAATTTCGGTTCACATGTCCAGAATTGGAGTCAAATTGACCAGAATTTCGACTTTGTGGCGAATTCTGGCGGTGATAGTCACCAAAATTCTGGTTAAAGTGGTTCTGATAGCTGCTGTGATTCTGTTGTTGACTGAATAAGAAGTTATTCTTCTGCTGTTCGCTATTCAATGGGTTATCGAACGAGTAGTACAAGTGATTGTTGGTGTTGTGATTGGTATTCTGGTGGACAGTATGTCCGGAAGCGCCGGCATTTAGCGACGACGACGATAACCGGTGCTGATGTTGGTGTTG